TTATATGAGCAGAAAATAAGGATGGGAGCAGCAGGGGATGGTGGGAGCTGCAAGGAATGATGAGAGCAGCCTCTCCACCTGAGAACACACCTCCCCGCCACCTGAGAACACACCTGCCCCACCACCTGGGAACACACCTGCCCCACCACCTGGGAACACACCTGCCCCACCACCTGGAACACACCTGGCCAGTCATGACATCCCACAGGTGCATGGGGTGGTCCCCCTGTGCCGCACCTCTCTGTGCTTCCCTGTGCTGTGCCGCACCTCTCTGTGGGGCACAGTTTGAGGAAAGCATCATCCCATGTGGTGTGGGGTGATGGATTATGTGAGCACACCGTGGAGGCATAAATGTGCGTCATGGCGTAGGTGTCGAGATGTATTGCGTAGGTCAGTGAAGTTTGTGTAACGGCACAGGATGGTGTGTGCGTGATGGTATGGAACGGTGCGAATGATTGCGTGGGATGGTTTGTGTGATGGGATGGGGAGGTATGGGATGGTGTGGGTGAATTGAGTATGGCATGAATTCGGAGGTTTGATGGTATGGGATGGTGTGTGTGAGTGAGACGGCATGAAATGGTTTGTGTGATGGCATGGGATGGTTTTTTGTGACATATGTAGTGTGTGTGAGACTGATGTGGCATCAAACTAGCTGTGTGATGCCGAGGGATGGTGTGTGTGAGTGATATGGCATGAAATCGGCTGTGAGATGGTATAAAATGGTGTGTGTGAGTAGATGACATGAAATCTGCTGTGCCATAGCATGGGATAATCTATGTGCGCGACATGGCCTGATATGGCGTGTGATAGCATGAGATGGTGTGTGTGAGTGATAGGCATGAAACTGGCTGTGAAAAGGAATGGGATGGTGTGTTTTGAGTGAATCGGCATGTAGTTGGATGTGTGTTGGATGCTGTGTGAGTGAGATGCCCTGGTATCGGCTGTGTGATGGCATGGGATGGCATGTGTAAGGCATGCTCGTGTGCGTGTCAAAAGCAGGTTTGTCATGTGCAACCTTCAGGTCCTCAAGTTGTGACATGACTAGAATTTGCCATGTGTACACGGAAAATAATCAAAACAGGAACCGCAAACTGAACCTAATGTATACTATTTACAGGTGCATACGGCTCTACTCGTCATCGTTAATGAACTTCCCTGTACCGGGGTTGATAGCCGCGATGAAGAAGAAGGCGATACTGGCGAGCAGCAGCGGCTCCACCTCCCACACGGGCAAGCCAGTCTCGATATTCAGCTGCGCCAGCGCGCCTCGCCCGCTGATCACCTCGCCCACCAGGCTCGCCGCGAACCCCAGTTGCGCCATGCGCCCCACGAACAGCTCGTTCGCCTTGGTAAACCCGAACAGCGGCCCCTCCTCGCTCAGCCCCAGCGCCGACTTGAAACTCCCGGGCTTCACCGGCGGACCCGCCGGCGCCTCGTCGTCCACGAATCGCCCGCGGTCGCCCAGCCCGCCGATGGCGCCGAGCACGGTGAATGCGATGAAGAAGAGCAGCAGCGGCTCGGCCTCCGTGATGGGGATGCCCGTCTCGAGGTTCAGTTGCGAAAGGATTCCCTGCCCGGTTACCGCTTCGCCCAGCAGCGATGCGGCGAATCCGAGCATCGCGACGCGGCCCACAAAGAGCTCGTTGGCCTTCGTGAAGCCGAATCCGCCGGATGTGCCGAAGATGCCGTCTTCAGTGCGGAGCTGCTTCTTAACGGGGTTGACCTTAGCGGGGACGGCGGCCTTGTTGAAGCCGAGGAGGGCGGTAACGCCGAGACCGCGGGGGGCAACGGCGTAAGGCGCTGCTAGGCGGTTGGCGGAGAGAGCGGCGCCCTTCACTGCTGCGCTGAAGGAAAGAGCGGCGAGCGACTGGTGTGCGACGAGGGCGGACACCATCGTGGTATGTATGGAGAGTGTGGTAGCGGCGTGAGATAGTACGAAACAGAAGCTGTCGGAGAACTGGAGGCTTGGAGCGATGGGAGAAAATGCTGGAACTAATGACAGATAATGGGCGAGGGTGCGGATTTATTTGTTTGCCGAGACGCGAATCGAAATTGACATCGGGTGGCGAGAGCTGGACGCCACACCGGAAAGTCAACAGAAATTCATTTGGAGACGTGGCTGCCTAAAGAAGGCGCCAAGGTGGATGGTCCGCATCAGCATTCAACAGATCTGAGACGTGAGCCCGCTGCGTGGCATTTCCATCGCCATCAATTTAGGAACCAGCGGCTGGAGCGGACTCCACATCAGATCTCTGAACCAAAGGGCGGAAATGGTCTGACGTGTCGTCTAGAAGTGAATTCTGGACCGTGGACCGCCAACTATAGCATCGCAGGCAGGCATTGACCTACTGTGACCTGAATTCTTGGACAGGTTTGTTTCGAACACCAACCCTGCTACTCTTTTGTGTTCTTTCTGGTGCTCTAATAAGAAAAATAATCAGAATGTGCAGGGATTCGTTTCCATAAAAGGAGTGGTGTGGTGAAGTGTTCCATCTTATTAGTAACTTGACAAAGCAAAACATAGCGCCCAGATTCTACTCAAATTTTCAACAAAACGACATGCGTGCAGGGGTGTGTAAGCTAGGCATTGAAGAGGGAGCGGAAGGACATGTCCTTTTTGGACGCGCTGGCAGCGGAGGAGTCAGCGAGGGCAAAGATGCGCTTCAGTGCCGTGTTCTGCGACACCGCTGCTGCCGCCGCCGCTGACTGCGCCATGGCTCCCCGCCCCAGCGCCGCCGCCCGCGCTATCATGGCCTCGCGGCTGGCAGCGCTCGTCAGCATGCCTGCAGCCGCAGCGGCAGCAGCGGTGGCCGTGGCAGCTGGGGGAGCGGCAGCAGCCGTGGCAGGCGGTGGGTGAGAGGCAGTGGAGGTGGAGGGTGCAGCGGAGGAGGTGGGGGACTTGGAGGGCGGGGCCTGAGTGGGCGCTGCTGCTCTGAGCTTGGCTGTGAGCGCGTCCAGCAGCGGCTGCTGCTCTGGCTTCTTCACTCCCTGTGGTGGGGAGGCAGGTGGGGACGTGTGCGCAGAGGGCGGAAGAAGAAACAATGGTGGAAGAGGTGGGGGGTGATGATGGTGTCATGCGTACAGTGGGAAAAGAGAGGGAAGGTAAGAGAAGCAGCGGTACTACAGCGTGCTACTTCGCTTCAAGCCAATGGATATCACAGGGTGCAATATGGAGCACACAGCAAGAGTGCCACCCATTAGGGGGGCGGCGCACCTTGAGGTCGAGTGGGCGCACCTTGAGGTCGAGTGGGCGCACCTTGAGGTCGAGTGGGCGCACCTTGAGGTCGAGTGGGCGCACCTTGAGGTCGAGTGGGCGCACCTTGAGGTCGAGTGGGCGCACCTTGAGGTCGAGTGGGCGCACCTTGAGGTCGAGTGGGCGCACCTTGAGGTCGAGTGGGCGCACGTTGAGGTCGAGTGGGCGCACCTTGAGGTCGAGCGTGCGCACCTTGAGGTCGAGTGGGCGCACCTTGAGGTCGAGTGGGCGCACCTTGAGGTCGAGGGTGCGCAGGAAGTCAGCAGCGGAGCCATCGGGCAGCAGCGTGCGGTACGTGTCCACCAGGTTCTCCTGTGGGGCTAGCACCACCTTGGCGGAGGGGGGCGGTGATGGTGCACGAGAGGGATGGGGAGAGGGATGGAGGATAGGAGGGGTGATGGTTCCCACAACAGGGGTGCAGGAGAGGGATGGAGGCAGGGTGTGAGCGAGAGGGAGCACGGCCAGCATGGCAATGGCAGTATTACAATGGAAGAGAGCCGAGCATTGCAGTGGCAGGGAGGGCAGCGGAGGAGGAGCGATGATTGATAGTCTGGCATGCCCATCTCACCTTGAGCAGCGCCTCTGATCGCCCCATCTCACGCGTCACATACTTGCTGTACGCTGCTGTGGCCGCCTGCACGCGGGTACGTGGGGGTGAGTGAGGAGGCAGAGAGGTTGAAGACGCGGGGTAAGGGGTGAGACAGGAGTGGTGGGAGAGGGAGAGCATAGTGTGTGTGTGCAGTGAGATGTGTGGACAGAATCAGCAACAAGAGTGGGAGAAGGGTGCGAGCAGTGGCGGGAGCAGCGCGCATGGCAAGGCATGACTCACGAGCCCCCCCAGGGCAGGCAGCTCGAGCAGGATGGTCTTGATGCCGTGCGTGTCCAGCAGCATCTGATGTGCGTGGCCATGAGAGGGCAGGCGAGCAGGGAGGGGCAGCGGAAGACGGAAGAGGGGCATGGGTCAGCAAGTGGGATGGGGAACCAGAGCAGTGGGCAGGCAGCTGGTAGCAGAATGGTCTTCATGCCATGGGTGTATCCAGCAGCATATGTGTGGGTGGGCGTGGGCGCAGTGTGGAGCGAGCAGGGCATGGGTGCCAGTGGGAGTTAGCACCGTGAAGACAGGAGGGGAAGATGGAACAGCAAGAGGGACAGGGAAATAGAGTAACAGGCATACATACAGATGTGTGGGCAGGGCATGTGTAGAAGTGACAATATGGCTGAGACAATAGCGTAACTCCACGTTCTATGAGCACACAGTTCATTCAATCATGGCACCACGCGCCACGCGCCACGCGCCACGCGCCACGCGCCACAAGCCACGCGCCACGCGCCACAAGCCACAAGCCACAAGCCACAAGCCACAAGGCACAAGGCACAAGCCACGGGGCACAAGGCACAAGGCACAAGGCACAAGGCACAAGGCACAAGGCACAAGCCACAAGCCACAAGCCACAAGCCACAAGCCACGCGGCACATGCGGAATGGCATCACCTGCTGGGCGCCGGTGCCGGAGAGGCGTTTGGCCTTGAAGACCGTGGCGTAGTAGCGCGGCCCGAACGATGCTGCCAGCTGGCACCCGGGGAGGAGAGTACGCGTGATGGTGAAGGGGGTTGGGGAGATTGGGAGAGCAGAAGGGAAAGACACAAAGGCAGAGAGTACTTGTGAGAAAGGGCTGCGCCAGGGCTGGTTGGGGCCACGTGGGGACGAGGCAGGGTTGACTGGTAGCGAGAACACGTGTCGCTCTTTGGTTGTCAGATGCGCGTCCATGCACACGTCGCCTGTCAGATGCGCTCAGCTCATCATCGATGTACATACTTACTCACCCCTCACATGAGACGGATTGAAACACGTGGCCGGGACTTGGAAAGCATGAACGCACCTGATCGCTCCCGACAAGGCATTGGGTATCTCAGGCGTCTCTTCGCACATAACTCAGGCACCTCTAGAAATGCACATACACCTTATCCCAACGAACCCACTTAGGCAAATAATCAATCAGGCCTCGTATGGGTCCCAATCACACCGCAACACCCTGAGGTAGAGAGGGCACCTTACGGAGGCGGTGGGGTGGGGCGCACCTTATGGAGGTGGAGGGGCGCACCTTATGGAGGTGGAGGGGCGCACCTTATGGAGGTGGAGGGGCGCACCTTATGGAGGTGGAGGGGCGCACCTTATGGAGGTGGAGGGGCGCACCTTATGGAGGTGGAGGGGCGCACCTTATGGAGGTGGAGAGGCGCACCTTATGGAGGTGGAGGGGCGCACCTTATGGAGGTGGAGGGGCGCACCTTATGGAGGAAGAAGTGGAAGTGCAGCGGGGAGAGCACCTTATCGAGGAAGAAGTGGAAGTGCAGCGGGGAGAGCACCTTATCGAGGAAGAAGTGGAAGTGCAGCGGGGAGAGCACCTTATCGAGGAAGAAGTGGAAGTGCAGCGGGGAGAGCACCTTATCGAGGAAGAAGTGGAAGTGCAGCGGGGAGAGCACCTTATGGAGGAAGAAGTGGAGGTGCAGCGGGGAGAGCACCTTATGGAGGAAGAAGTGGAAGTGCAGCGGGGAGAGCACCTTATCGAGGAAGAAGTGGAAGTGCAGCGGGGAGAGCACCTTATCGAGGAAGAAGTGGAAGTGCAGCGGGGAGAGCACCTTATCGAGGAAGAAGTGGAAGTGCAGCGGGGAGAGCACCTTATGGAGGAAGAAGTGGAAGTGCAGCGGAGAGAGCACCTTATCGAGGAAGAAGTGGAAGTGCAGCGGGGAGAGCACCTTATCGAGGAAGAAGTGGAAGTGCAGCGGGGAGAGCACCTTATCGAGGAAGAAGTGGAAGTGCAGCGGGGAGAGCACCTTATGGAGGAAGAAGTGGAAGTGCAGCGGAGAGAGCACCTTATCGAGGAAGAAGTGGAAGTGCAGCGGGGAGAGCACCTTATCGAGGAAGAAGTGGAAGTGCAGCGGGGAGAGCACCTTATGGAGGAAGAAGTGGAAGTGCAGCGGGGAGAGCACCTTATGGAGGAAGAAGTGGAAGTGCAGCGGGGAGAGCACCTTATCGAGGAAGAAGTGGAAGTGCAGCGGGGAGAGCACCTTATCGAGGAAGAAGTGGAAGTGCAGCGGGGAGAGCACCTTATCGAGGAAGAAGTGGAAGTGCAGCGGGGAGAGCACCTTATCGAGGAAGAAGTGGAAGTGCAGCGGGGAGAGCACCTTATGGAGGAAGAAGTGGAAGTGCAGCGGAGAGAGCACCTTATCGAGGAAGAAGTGGAAGTGCAGCGGGGAGAGCACCTTATCGAGGAAGAAGTGGAAGTGCAGCGGGGAGAGCACCTTATCGAGGAAGAAGTGGAAGTGCAGCGGGGAGAGCACCTTATGGAGGAAGAAGTGGAAGTGCAGCGGGGAGAGCACCTTATGGAGGAAGAAGTGGAAGTGCAGCGGGGAGAGCACCTTATGGAGGAAGAAGTGGAAGTGCAGCGGGGAGAGCACCTTATCGAGGAAGAAGTGGAAGTGCAGCGGGGAGAGCACCATATGGAGGAAGAAGTGAAAGTGCAGCGGGGAGAGCACCTTATCGAGGAAGAAGTGGAAGTGCAGCGGGGAGAGCACCTTATCGAGGAAGAAGTGGAAGTGCAGCGGGGAGAGCACCTTATCGAGGAAGAAGTGGAAGTGCAGCGGGGAGAGCACCTTATCGAGGAAGAAGTGGAAGTGCAGCGGGGAGAGCACCTTATGGAGGAAGAAGTGGAAGTGCAGCGGGGAGAGCACCTTATCGAGGAAGAAGTGGAAGTGCAGCGGGGAGAGCACCTTATCGAGGAAGAAGTGGAAGTGCAGCGGGGAGAGCACCTTATCGAGGAAGAAGTGGAAGTGCAGCGGGGAGAGCACCTTATCGAGGAAGAAGTGGAAGTGCAGCGGGGAGAGCACCTTATGGAGGAAGAAGTGGAGGTGCAGCGGGGAGAGCACCTTATGGAGGAAGAAGTGGAAGTGCAGCGGGGAGAGCACCTTATCGAGGAAGAAGTGGAAGTGCAGCGGGGAGAGCACCTTATCGAGGAAGAAGTGGAAGTGCAGCGGGGAGAGCACCTTATCGAGGAAGAAGTGGAAGTGCAGCGGGGAGAGCACCTTATCGAGGAAGAAGTGGAAGTGCAGCGGGGAGAGCACCTTATCGAGGAAGAAGTGGAAGTGCAGCGGGGAGAGCACCTTATCGAGGAAGAAGTGGAAGTGCAGCGGGGAGAGCACCTTATGGAGGAAGAAGTGGAAGTGCAGCGGAGAGAGCACCTTATCGAGGAAGAAGTGGAAGTGCAGCGGGGAGAGCACCTTATCGAGGAAGAAGTGGAAGTGCAGCGGGGAGAGCACCTTATGGAGGAAGAAGTGGAAGTGCAGCGGGGAGAGCACCTTATGGAGGAAGAAGTGGAAGTGCAGCGGGGAGAGCACCTTATGGAGGAAGAAGTGGAAGTGCAGCGGGGAGAGCACCTTATCGAGGAAGAAGTGGAAGTGCAGCGGGGAGAGCACCATATGGAGGAAGAAGTGAAAGTGCAGCGGGGAGAGCACCTTATCGAGGAAGAAGTGGAAGTGCAGCGGGGAGAGCACCTTATCGAGGAAGAAGTGGAAGTGCAGCGGGGAGAGCACCTTATCGAGGAAGAAGTGGAAGTGCAGCGGGGAGAGCACCTTATGGAGGAAGAAGTGGAAGTGCAGCGGGGAGAGCACCTTATCGAGGAAGAAGTGGAAGTGCAGCGGGGAGAGCACCTTATGGAGGAAGAAGTGGAAGTGCAGCGGGAGAGCACCTTATCGAGGAAGAAGTGGAAGTGCAGCGGGGAGAGCACCTTATGGAGGAAGAAGTGGAGGTGCAGCGGGGAGAGCACCTTATGGAGGAAGAAGTGGAAGTGCAGCGGGGAGAGCACCTTATCGAGGAAGAAGTGGAAGTGCAGCGGGGAGAGCACCTTATCGAGGAAGAAGTGGAAGTGCAGCGGGGAGAGCACCTTATGGAGGAAGAAGTGGAAGTGCAGCGGGGAGAGCACCTTATCGAGGAAGAAGTGGAAGTGCAGCGGGGAGAGCACCTTATGGAGGAAGAAGTGGAAGTGCAGCGGGGAGAGCACCTTATGGAGGAAGAAGTGGAAGTGCAGCGGGGAGAGCACCTTATCGAGGAAGAAGTGGAAGTGCAGCGGGGAGAGCACCTTATCGAGGAAGAAGTGGAAGTGCAGCGGGGAGAGCACCTTATCGAGGAAGAAGTGGAAGTGCAGCGGGGAGAGCACCTTATCGAGGAAGAAGTGGAAGTGCAGCGGGGAGAGCACCTTATGGAGGAAGACGTGGAAGTGCAGCGGGGAGAGCACCTTATCGAGGAAGAAGTGGAAGTGCAGCGGGGAGAGCACCGTATGGAGGAAGAAGTGGAAGTGCAGCGGGGAGAGCACCTTATCGAGGAAGAAGTGGAAGTGCAGCGGGGAGAGCACCTTATCGAGGAAGAAGTGGAAGTGCAGCGGGGAGAGCACCTTATGGAGGAAGAAGTGGAAGTGCAGCGGGGAGAGCACCTTATCGAGGAAGAAGTGGAAGTGCAGCGGGGAGAGCACCTTATCGAGGAAGAAGTGGAAGTGCAGCGGGGAGAGCACCTTATGGAGGAAGAAGTGGAAGTGCAGCGGGGAGAGCACCTTATCGAGGAAGAAGTGGAAGTGCAGCGGGGAGAGCACCTTATGGAGGAAGAAGTGGAAGTGCAGCGGGGAGAGCACCTTATGGAGGAAGAAGTGGAAGTGCAGCGGGGAGAGCACCTTATCGAGGAAGAAGTGGAAGTGCAGCGGGGAGAGCACCTTATCGAGGAAGAAGTGGAAGTGCAGCGGGGAGAGCAGCCCTGCGAGCATGGGGATGGAGTTGGAGAAGATGGCGCTCAGGTTGTTCACAAACCTGCCAGCCACAGGGGGGGGGACGAAGGGGGGATGACGGGGGCGGGAGGGGTGGAGAGGAGGAGAAGGGGGAATTGTGGTGGATAAGGGGTTGGGCAGCACGTGAGGATCAGTCACTAGCAGCACGTGAGGATCAGTCACTAGCAGCACGTGAGGATCAGTCACTAGCAGCACGTGAGGATCAGTCACTAGCAGCACGTGAGGATCAGTCACTAGCAGCACGTGAGGATCAGTCACTAGCAGCACGTGAGGATCAGTCACTAGCAGCACGTGAGGACCAGTCACTAGCAGCACGTGAGGATCAGTCACTAGCAGCACGTGAGGATCAGTCACTAGCAGCACGTGAGGATCAGTCACTAGCAGCACGTGAGGATCAGTCACTAGCAGCACGTGAGGATCAGTCACTAGCAGCACGTGAGGATCAGTCACTAGCAGCACGTGAGGATCAGTCACTAGCAGCACGTGAGGATCAGTCACTAGCAGCACGTGAGGATCAGTCACTAGCAGCACGTGAGGATCAGTCACTAGCAGCACGTGAGGATCAGTCACTAGCAGCACGTGAGGATCAGTCACTAGCAGCACGTGAGGATCAGTCACTAGCAGCACGTGAGGATCAGTCACTAGCAGCACGTGAGGATCAGTCACTAGCAGCACGCGAGGATCAGTCACTAGCAGCACGCGAGGATCAGTCACTAGCAGCACGCGAGGATCAGTCACTAGCAGCACGTGAGGATCAGTCACTAGCAGCACGTGAGGATCAGTCACTAGCAGCACGCGAGGATCAGTCACTAGCAGCACGTGAGGATCAGTCACTAGCAGCACGTGAGGATCAGTCACTAGCAGCACGTGAGGATCAGTCACTAGCAGCACGTGAGGATCAGTCACTAGCAGCACGTGAGGATCAGTCACTAGCAGCACGTGAGGATCAGTCACTAGCAGCACGTGAGGATCAGTCACTAGCAGCACGTGAGGATCAGTCACTAGCAGCACGTGAGGATCAGTCACTAGCAGCACGTGAGGATCAGTCACTAGCAGCACGTGAGGATCAGTCACTAGCAGCACGTGAGGATCAGTCACTAGCAGCACGTGAGGATCAGTCACTAGCAGCACGTGAGGATCAGTCACTAGCAGCACGCGAGGATCAGTCACTAGCAGCACGAGAGGATCAGTCACTAGCAGCACGTGAGGATCAGTCACTAGCAGCACGTGAGGATCAGTCACTAGCAGCACGTGAGGATCAGTCACTAGCAGCACGTGAGGATCAGTCACTAGCAGCACGTGAGGATCAGTCACTAGCAGCACGTGAGGATCAGTCACTAGCAGCACGTGAGGATCAGTCACTAGCAGCACGTGAGGATCAGTCACTAGCAGCACGTGAGGATCAGTCACTAGCAGCACGTGAGGATCAGTCACTAGCAGCACGTGAGGATCAGTCACTAGCAGCACGTGAGGATCAGTCACTAGCAGCACGTGAGGATCAGTCACTAGCAGCACGTGAGGATCAGTCACTAGCAGCACGTGAGGATCAGTCACTAGCAGCACGTGAGGATCAGTCACTAGCAGCACGTGAGGATCAGTCACTAGCAGCACGTGAGGATCAGTCACTAGCAGCACGTGAGGATCAGTCACTAGCAGCACGTGAGGATCAGTCACTAGCAGCACGCGAGGATCAGTCACTAGCAGCACGTGAGGATCAGTCACTAGCAGCACGTGAGGATCAGTCACTAGCAGCACGTGAGGACCAGTCACTAGCAGCACGTGAGGATCAGTCACTAGCAGCACGTGAGGATCAGTCACTAGCAGCACGTGAGGATCAGTCACTAGCAGCACGTGAGGATCAGTCACTAGCAGCACGTGAGGATCAGTCACTAGCAGCACGTGAGGATCAGTCACTAGCAGCACGTGAGGATCAGTCACTAGCAGCACGTGAGGATCAGTCACTAGCAGCACGTGAGGATCAGTCACTAGCAGCACGTGAGGATCAGTCACTAGCAGCACGTGAGGATCAGTCACTAGCAGCACGTGAGGATTAGTCACTAGCAGCACGTGAGGATCAGTCACTAGCAGCTGCTGGGAGCACAAACGACACCCCCCCTGTGCTGCCCTCTCCTGTGTCCCCCGCTGCTGGTCACACTCAATGTATCTCGCCACTGCCCTGCTCTCTGCCAACGCTGCACACACATGCCGCACCCGCACGGCACCCATCCACCACACGATCACACAGCACGGCTGCAGCAGCAGCAGTGCCACGTGGCTCACTCGGATTGGTCGCCCACGGACTCGAGGGTGCTCCAGGGCATGCGGGCCATGCGGTCCAGCTCGCCCTCCAGCCGCCCCTCCAGCCCCGCCACCAGCACTGCCAGCGCACGCGTGATGGCAACCGAAAACTCCTCCTGCCAGGGCGGGGTGGGTGGGTAGGAGGCGACAGGATAGAGCTTACAATCGTGCCACCAGCACCGCCAGCGCATGAAAAACTAGTGCATTGCATCAACCTCCCCCCCCCATTTCCCCCCTCGTTCCCCTCGCTGATATGACGTCAACGGAGCCCACCAGCTGTGCAATGATGCGCCGTTGCTGTTGAGAACTCTCAGAAGCAACTCCTTACTCGCCCCCCCTTCCCACCCCCACCTGCTCATCGCTGATGTCAACGGACCCCACCTGCTCATCGCTGATGTCAACGGACCCCACCTGCTCATCGCTGATGTCAACGGACCCCACCTGCTCATCGCTGATGTCAACGGACCCCACCTGCTCATCGCTGATGTCAACGGACCCCACGAGCGCCGCATCAATGCGGTTCGCCACACTCTCTGCCAGCTGTGCCGCCTGCCATGGGGGCCACACGTGGAGGGGGCGAGAGGGTGGCGAGATACAGGCGTGAGAGGCGTGGGTGCATGCACGCACCGTGGAGCAGTGGTGCCGGTGACCGGCACTTGTGCACTCCGTGCCTGCTGTGCTGCCCACCAAGGAGAGAAGAGGCAGGGGGGAAGAGGGGATCGGGGGAGGAGAGAGCGAAGGGAGGTGGCGTGGAAAGGGGCACAAGGGAGACGAGAGGGTGGCAACGAGAGGGAAGAGGAATGGAGGAATTGTAAAGGGAAGAGAGAATGAAGAGATGCACGAGTGAAGAGCCGTATAGGTAGACTCACAGTCTCGTGGCAATACTCGGCGGTGTTGATGATATAGCACACCACTCGCTCATCCTTCTCCGTCATCTGCGCGCATGCGCACACACGTGCGGGGTAGGCAGAGGCAGACGAGAAGCAGGGCACGTAGAAATGAGTGCGACTTACCTCTTCTTCCACTCGTAGGTGCAAGCTTGTGTGCAATAGAGAAACAGGGAGAATGGGAGTGGGCGGGAAGGGAAGGGAAGGAGGAGAGAACACGAGGGAGCAGCAGTGCAATGGCAGCTGAGGCTGACAGCACATGAGCGCCCATGCGTGGAGCCATGCCTTGTGTAACGACTCTTACCTCCCCTCCCACCCCGCCCGCTCCCCGTGGTCGTCCCCACTCGCCCATGCGTCCACCACCCATCCATCCATCTCATCAACCCCCCCCTCCCCCCCCACCCAACATCCATCGCATGCCTCCTTCGCCCTTCCCCCGCCATACCCCCATGCGCCTCACGCTTCTCCCCATGCGCCTCACCCTACCCCGCGCCTCACCTTGACTTGCCACTCGCCACCCCCCGTGGGCTGGACAGCACGGGGCAGGCGGGCGCTGAGGCGAGCGGCGTACTGCCGCAGCACACGCTTGAACACCTGGGGGGGGAGGGGAGGGGGGGATGGGGATGGGGGAGGGAGTGACACGGATGAGAATTGAGTGAGCGATGTGCAACACATGCAGCAGGAGCCTCTGGTGCCCACATTGATGATGTAAAGGCGAAGACACGTGGGTTGGGAAGAGGAGAGGACACTGAGGACGCCGAGAGAGAAGGATGGCATCAAGCCACATCACTCTGGGATTCCATTATCGTTGGAAGAGGGCTCACCTGAAAGAGGGCTCACCTGGAAGAGGGCTCACCTGGAAGAGGGCTCACCTGAAAGAGGGCTCACCTGGAAGAGGGCTCACCTGGAAGAGGGCTCACCTGAAAGAGGGCTCACCTGGAAGAGGGCTCACCTGGAAGAGGGCTCACCTGAAAGAGGGCTCACCTGAAAGAGGGCTCACCTGGAAGAGGGCTCACCTGGAAGAGGGCTCACCTGAAAGAGGGCTCACCTGGAAGAGGGCTCACCTGGAAGAGGGCTCACCTGGAGGAGGGCTCACCTGGAAGAGGGCTCACCTGGAAGAGGGCTCACCTGGAAGAGGGCTCACCTGGAAGAGGGCTCACCTGGAAGAGGGCTCACCTGAAAGAGGGCTCACCTGGAAGAGGGCTCACCTGAAAGAGGGCTCACCTGGAAGAGGGCTCACCTGAAAGAGGGCTCACCTGGAAGAGGGCTCACCTGAAAGAGGGCTCACCTGGAAGAGGGCTCACCTGGAAGAGGGCTCACCTGGAAGAGGGCTCACCTGGAAGAGGGCTCACCTGGAAGAGGGCTCACCTGAAAGAGGGCTCACCTGGAAGAGGGCTCACCTGAAGAGGGCTCACCTGGAAGAGGGCTCACCTGGAAGAGGGCTCACCTGGAAGAGGGCTCACCTGGAAGAGGGCTCACCTGGAAGAGGGCTCACCTGGAAGAGGGCTCACCTGAAAGAGGGCTCACCTGGAAGAGGGCTCACCTGAAAGAGGGCTCACCTGGAAGAGGGCTCACCTGGAAGAGGGCTCACCTGGAAGAGGGCTCACCTGAAAGAGGGCTCACCTGGAAGAGGGCTCACCTGAAAGAGGGCTCACCTGGAAGAGGGCTCACCTGGAAGAGGGCTCACCTGAAAGAGGGCTCACCTGGAAGAGGGCTCACCTGGAAGAGGGCTCACCTGAAAGAGGGCTCACCTGGAAGAGGGCTCACCTGGAAGAGGGCTCACCTGAAAGAGGGCTCACCTGGAAGAGGGCTCACCTGGAAGAGGGCTCACCTGGAGGAGGGCTCACCTGGAAGAGGGCTCACCTGGAAGAGGGCTCACCTGGAAGAGGGCTCACCTGGAAGAGGGCTCACCTGGAAGAGGGCTCACCTGAAAGAGGGCTCACCTGGAAGAGGGCTCACCTGAAAGAGGGCTCACCTGGAAGAGGGCTCACCTGAAAGAGGGCTCACCTGAAAGAGGGCTCACCTGGAAGAGGGCTCACCTGGAAGAGGGCTCACCTGAAAGAGGGCTCACCTGGAAGAGGGCTCACCTGGAAGAGGGCTCACCTGAAAGAGGGCTCACCTGGAAGAGGGCTCACCTGGAAGAGGGCTCACCTGGAGGAGGGCTCACCTGGAAGAGGGCTCACCTGGAAGAGGGCTCACCTGGAAGAGGGCTCACCTGGAAGAGGGCTCACCTGGAAGAGGGCTCACCTGAAAGAGGGCTCACCTGGAAGAGGGCTCACCTGAAAGAGGGCTCACCTGGAAGAGGGCTCACCTGAAAGAGGGCTCACCTGGAAGAGGGCTCACCTGAAAGAGGGCTCACCTGGAAGAGGGCTCACCTGGAAGAGGGCTCACCTGGAAGAGGGCTCACCTGAAAGAGGGCTCACCTGGAAGAGGGCTCACCTGAAAGAGGGCTCACCTGGAAGAGGGCTCACCTGGAAGAGGGCTCACCTGAAAGAGGGCTCACCTGGAAGAGGGCTCACCTGGAAGAGGGCTCACCTGAAAGAGGGCTCACCTGGAAGAGGGCTCACCTGGAAGAGGGCTCACCTGAAAGAGGGCTCACCTGGAAGAGGGCTCACCTGGAAGAGGGCTCACCTGGAGGAGGGCTCACCTGGAAGAGGGCTCACCTGAAAGAGGGCTCACCTGGAAGAGGGCTCACCTGGAAGAGGGCTCACCTGAAAGAGGGCTCACCTGGAAGAGGGCTCACCTGGAAGAGGGCTCACCTGAAAGAGGGCTCACCTGGAAGAGGGCTCACCTGGAAGAGGGCTCACCTGAAAGAGGGCTCACCTGGAAGAGGGCTCACCTGAAAGAGGGCTCACCTGGAAGAGGGCTCACCTGGAAGAGGGCTCACCTGAAAGAGGGCTCACCTGGAAGAGGGCTCACCTGGAAGAGGGCTCACCTGAAAGAGGGCTCACCTGGAAGAGGGCTCACCTGGAAGAGGGCTCACCTGGAAGAGGGCTCACCTGAAAGAGGGCTCACCTGGAAGAGGGCTCACCTGAAAGAGGGCTCACCTCGAAGAGGGCTCACCTGGAAGAGGGCTCACCTGAAAGAGGGCTCACCTGGAAGAGGGCTCACCTGGAAGAGGGCTCACCTGAAAGAGGGCTCACCTGGAAGAGGGCTCACCTGGAAGAGGGCTCACCTGAAAGAGGGCTCACCTGGAAGAGGGCTCACCTGGAAGAGGGCTCACCTGGAGGAGGGCTCACCTGGAAGAGGGCTCACCTGGAAGAGGGCTCACCTGGAAGAGGGCTCACCTGGAGGAGGGCTCACCTGGAAGAGGGCTCACCTGGAAGAGGGCTCACCTGGAAGAGGGCTCACCTGGAAGAGGGCTCACCTGGAAGAGGGCTCACCTGAAAGAGGGCTCACCTGGAAGAGGGCTCACCTGAAAGAGGGCTCACCTGGAAGAGGGCTCACCTGAAAGAGGGCTCACCTGGAAGAGGGCTCACCTGAAAGAGGGCTCACCTGGAAGAGGGCTCACCTGGAAGAGGGCTCACCTGGAAGAGGGCTCACCTGAAAGAGGGCTCACCTGGAAGAGGGCTCACCTGAAAGAGGGCTCACCTGGAAGAGGGCTCACCTGGAAGAGGGCTCACCTGGAAGAGGGCTCACCTGGAAGAGGGCTCACCTGGAAGAGGGCTCACCTGGAAGAGGGCTCACCTGAAAGAGGGCTCACCTGGAAGAGGGCTCACCTGAAAGAGGGCTCACCTGGAAGAGGGCTCACCTGGAAGAGGGCTCACCTGGAAGAGGGCTCACCTGAAAGAGGGCTCACCTGAAAGAGGGCTCACCTGGAAGAGGGCTCACCTGGAAGAGGGCTCACCTGAAAGAGGGCTCACCTGGAAGAGGGCTCACCTGAAAGAGGGCTCACCTGGAAGAGGGCTCACCTGGAAGAGGGCTCACCTGAAAGAGGGCTCACCTGGAAGAGGGCTCACCTGGAAGAGGGCTCACCTGAAAGAGGGCTCACCTGGAAGAGGGCTCACCTGGAAGAGGGCTCACCTGAAAGAGGGCTCACCTGGAAGAGGGCTCACCTGGAAGAGGGCTCACCTGGAAGAGGGCTCACCTGAAAGAGGGCTCACCTGGAAGAGGGCTCACCTGAAAGAGGGCTCACCTGGAAGAGGGCTCACCTGGAAGAGGGCTCACCTGAAAGAGGGCTCACCTGGAAGAGGGCTCACCTGGAAGAGGGCTCACCTGAAAGAGGGCTCACCTGGAAGAGGGCTCACCTGGAAGAGGGCTCACCTGGAAGAGGGCTCACCTGGAAGAGGGCTCACCTGGAAGAGGGCTCACCTGGAGGAGGGCTCACCTGGAAGAGGGCTCACCTGAAAGAGGGCTCACCTGGAAGAGGGCTCACCTGGAAGAGGGCTCACCTGGAAGAGGGCTCACCTGAAAGAGGGCTCACCTGGAAGAGGGCTCACCTGAAAGAGGGCTCACCTGGAAGAGGGCTCACCTGGAAGAGGGCTCACCTGAAAGAGGGCTCACCTGGAAGAGGGCTCACCTGAAAGAGGGCTCACCTGGAAGAGGGCTCACCTGGAAGAGGGCTCACCTGAAAGAGGGCTCACCTGGAAGAGGGCTCACCTGGAAGAGGGCTCACCTGAAAGAGGGCTCACCTGGAAGAGGGCTCACCTGGAAGAGGGCTCACCTGGAAGAGGGCTCACCTGAAAGAGGGCTCACCTGGAAGAGGGCTCACCTGAAAGAGGGCTCACCTCGAAGAGGGCTCACCTGGAAGAGGGCTCACCTGAAAGAGGGCTCACCTGGAAGAGGGCTCACCTGGAAGAGGGCTCACCTGAAAGAGGGCTCACCTGGAAGAGGGCTCACCTGGAAGAGGGCTCACCTGAAGAGGGCTCACCTGGAAGAGGGCTCACCTGGAAGAGGGCTCACCTGGAGGAGGGCTCACCTGAAAGAGGGCTCACCTGGAAGAGGGCTCACCTGAAAGAGGGCTCACCTGGAAGAGGGCTCACCTGGAAGAGGGCTCACCTGAAAGAGGGCTCACCTGGAAGAGGGCTCACCTGGAAGAGGGCTCACCTGAAAGAGGGCTCACCTGGAAGAGGGCTCACCTGGAAGAGGGCTCACCTGAAAGAGGGCTCACCTGGAAGAGGGCTCACCTGGAAGAGGGCTCACCTGGAAGAGGGCTCACCTGAAAGAGGGCTCACCTGGAAGAGGGCTCACCTGGAAGAGGGCTCACCTGGAAGAGGGCTCACCTGAAAGAGGGCTCACCTGGAAGAGGGCTCACCTGAAAGAGGGCTCACCTGGAAGAGGGCTCACCTGGAAGAGGGCTCACCTGAAAGAGGGCTCACCTGGAAGAGGGCTCACCTGGAAGAGGGCTCACCTGAAAGAGGGCTCACCTGGAAGAGGGCTCACCTGGAAGAGGGCTCACCTGGAGGAGGGCTCACCTGGAAGAGGGCTCACCTGAAAGAGGGCTCACCTGGAAGAGGGCTCACCTGGAAGAGGGCTCACCTGGAAGAGGGCTCACCTGAAAGAGGGCTCACCTGGAAGAGGGCTCACCTGAAAGAGGGCTCACCTGGAAGAGGGCTCACCTGGAAGAGGGCTCACCTGAAAGAGGGCTCACCTGGAAGAGGGCTCACCTGAAAGAGGGCTCACCTGGAAGAGGGCTCACCTGGAAGAGGGCTCACCTGAAAGAGGGCTCACCTGGAAGAGGGCTCACCTGGAAGAGGGCTCACCTGAAAGAGGGCTCACCTGGAAGAGGGCTCACCTGGAAGAGGGCTCACCTGGAAGAGGGCTCACCTGAAAGAGGGCTCACCTGGAAGAGGGCTCACCTGAAAGAGGGCTCACCTCGAAGAGGGCTCACCTGGAAGAGGGCTCACCTGAAAGAGGGCTCACCTGGAAGAGGGCTCACCTGGAAGAGGGCTCACCTGAAAGAGGGCTCACCTGGAAGAGGGCTCACCTGGAAGAGGGCTCACCTGAAAGAGGGCTCACCTGGAAGAGGGCTCACCTGGAAGAGGGCTCACCTGGAGGAGGGCTCACCTGGAAGAGGGCTCACCTGGAAGAGGGCTCACCTGGAAGAGGGCTCACCTGGAAGAGGGCTCACCTGGAAGAGGCTGAGCAGCGTTTGCTTCCTGGTGAGCTGGCAGCAGCGGTTGAAGCTCTTGCGGATCGCCAAAAACATCTGCCGGCAGGCAGGCAGGCAGGCAGGCAGGCAGGCAGGCAGGCAGGCAGGCAGGCAGGCAGGCAGGCAGGCAGGCAGGCAGGCAGGCAGGCAGGCAGGCAGGCAGGCAGGCAGGCAGGCAGGCAGGCAGGCAGGCAGGCAGGTAGGCATGGGCGCACAGTCATGGCGGGTGGGATGTATGGAAGATTAGAAGCAGAAACGAATGGAGGACTGAGAACACCTCTCACCTCTGAGTTGCCCTCCCACCTCTCACCTCTGAGTTGCCCTCCCACCTCTCACCTCTGAGTTGCCCTCCCACCTCTCACCTCTGAGTTGCCCTCCCACCTCTCACCTCTGAGTTGCCCTCCCACCTCTCACCTCTGAGCTACTGCGCAGGATGTTGGTTTGGCTGCCCTCCTCCGCCTCCCATGTCTCCTCCTGCCGTGACTCATGCACCACACGGCACACGCACCATACACCCCCATGCCCCACGTCCATGCATCATGCATCATGGCATGCCCCATGTCATGACCCATGCACCATGCACCATCAGAGAAAACGAAAAACAGGGATTTCGATGAGCAAAAGTTTTCGACCCTTCTCTCACCTGTTTGCAACACCCTTGTAACCTAAAAACACCATCACCCGCACTCCATATCACATACACCAGTTATCACCTGCACGTGTTACCACCTGCACCAGTTACCACTTGCACAAGAAATCACCTGCACCGATTATCACCTGCACCGGTTATCACCTGCACCGGTTATCACCTGCACCGGTTATCACCTGCACCGGTTATCACCTGCACCGGTTATCACCTGCACCGGTCATCACCTGCACGAGCTTGTCAAGTGTGTCCGCCAGAGTCCGCTCCTCGAGGTCCACATACACCCCCAGGTGCGGCTCAAAGCACGATGAGATGGCGCCCTGGAACTCAAACTGCCACGTGAGCACGGGGGGGCGCGAGGGGCGGAGGCGGTAGCACATAGCAGGCAATGAGGAGTTGGACGAGTGTGAGTGTCCTCTCCTCCACATCCCACATACACCCCCCGGTGAGGCTCAAAGCACGATGAGATGGCGCCCTGGAACTCAAACTCAATGGAGGGAGGGGGAGAGAGCAAGGCAGCAGCACATAGCGGGCAAGGAGGAGTTGGAAAAATGAGACTGTAATGGATGGATGATTGACAGGCGAAAACGTGAGGTGACCCATCACAAACCTACGGCATCAGGCTGGCCGGGCGAAAATAACAACCCAACTTGAACCAGCCCAGACCTGGTCTGACAGCGACAGTGGGCGACTAGTTTGAGTCTTGCCGGCTCGAGTTCGACTGGCGCTCAAGCCCCCTCCGCACACACCCTCCTTGCTTCCTTCCCTCCCACTCTCTTAAAAGCTCTCCTGGCAAGCCCCCTCTCCCACGCCTTCTTTCTTCCTCTCCCCGCTCCTCCCGTCCCTCCCGCCCGCCCGCCCACCACACTGACCTCCACATCAGCGGCGCCAGCAGCAGCGGGGGCAGCGGCAGGGGTGGAGGAGGGCGAGGCAGCGGCCGCGGCAGGCGCGGGGGGGAAGCGCTTGGCCAGGTCGTCCTCAAACTCCAACGTGCGCTCCAACGCCTGATGGGGGGGGGGACAGGGGAGGGGGAGGCGGAGGGGGGAAGGGGGTGGGGGAGGAGGGTGCGGGTGGGGGGAGGAGGGTGAGGGTGGGGGACTAGCGGACGTGGCGAGGTGGCATGTGCAGCGAGGAGGGAAGAGAGTGCAGGAAAGAGGGATGGGTAAGAGATGCTGATTACTTGAGCATGTTCAATCGATGCCACCGTGCTGTCAGAGTCAGCACACGCATAGCTGGACTTCGCAAAGAAAAATCTTGTCTCCCTCAAACGCTACAAGCACCAGCTAGAATCAGCACCATTTGACTGCTATAACCTGCACTGGGTATGACCTGCACTGGTTATGACCTGCAAGAGCGTGGTGACATCTGGTCTGTCCTTGGATCCGTCCAGCTGCTCCTTCAACTGCGCCCTGCATGCTCACTCAGTGCCATGCCATGCCACCCCATGCCAGACCATGCCATGCCATGCCATGGCATCCCACGCCATGCGAATGCACACATTCGAGGTGAGTGAGAAGGCCATTAGCATGCAAGCACAATGGAAAAGGAATCACGAGAAGCAGGCGCAAGAGATTGCACGGGTAGTGTGGTTGAGGTGGCCCACACACAGCGACATCTCAGCCCTCGTGGTCGCGTTCATCCATCCGCTGTGCCGCCCCCCCAGGGGACCGCACAGCCCACCCACCACCGTGTGATGAGGTTCCCCCATGCCTACCCACCCATGCCACACACCCACCCACCGGGTGATGTGGCAGAACTGCGAGCAGAGCAGGCGCTGCACGTGCCAGGCGGGTGGGAAGATGCGCCACACGTCCTCGTTCAGCTTCAGCTGCCGCTTCACCCACACGTACCGCCTCTCCACCTTGTCCAACCGCGCCACATCTGGTAGGTGGGAGGGGGAGAGGCAGGGGGCACGAGGAAGACGAGGGGATGGGGGGTAGGGGAAGGAGAGAGGCACACATACAGCGACAGCGGTGGATGGCAACATGAGGGCTATGGGGCAGGCGCAGGGGGGAGTGGCACTGATGCTCAGTGCCCCTCCAGCAGCCGTGCATGGGTGAAGGGGGGGGGAGAGGAGGGGAGGGGGGGCCGAAGGGTTTGGCACGGAGACAGAGGTGGGACAAGGGAAGAGAGGCACGAGTGGAAGGAAAGCAAAGGCCACGATTTACAGAATGACCAAGTGAGAGTGGAAGGGAGCAGCACTGACCCGTGCCCTGGAAGATCTGCTGGTACGCGGTGAGCTCCTTGCTGCACACCGTGCGCACCAGCTCGTCCCGCGCGTGGCCGTGGGCGTCCAGCGCCGCCACCACGAGACACGCGTCCGCCAGCTGCTGCATCACCTGCCCGTTCTCCCTCATCACTGGCGTGCCCAGCCTGGGGGCGGGGGAGAGGTGCGGGGGAGAGGTGCGGGGGAGAGGTGCGGGGGGGGGGAGGAGAAGGTGGGGCAGATGCAAGTGATGGGCAGCAGAAGCGAGGAGAGCAGTGAGCAGCAGTGATCCACAAGAGGCGCTCCAGGCACGTTTCGTGGCAGGCATGCGGAGTGCAGAAAGCACGGCAGGGCAGATGGGTGGACGATGCATAAGATGGCATGAGAGGGTACGCATGGAGCAACGGAAAGGCAAGCGTGTTGAACAAGAGCAGTGCTGCAAGATGCACGTCAGCAGGTTGGCGAGGCAGGGGGGGGGGTGGGAAGGGGGGATTGGCGGGGAGAAGATGTGGGAGTGAGCGCGGCGTTGAGCGCCGTGAGCCATGTGGAGCAGAAAAGCAGCAGTCAACAACAATAATGGGGCAGAAGCAGACAGAAGCAGTGTGCAATTGGGGCGCACGTGGAGAAGTCGGAGAAGATGTGGGACTTGAGCGTGGCGTTGAGCGCCGCCACTCGCCCCTGCAGCTCCGCTATCTTGGGGATGTCCCTGTACGCCTCAAAGTGCGCCAGTAGCTGCGTCACCGCCTGTGGCCGTTGGGGAGGGGGGGGGGGCGGGGGTAGGAAAGAAAGAAGGTTGAGGGAGGCACACAAGGGGTTGGTGTGTGGGGTGGGGTGGGGCTCAGCATGGTTGAGGCGCGGGCGAGGTGAAGGAAGCGATGGGGAGCGAGGAAGGCACGCTAGGGGTGGTGTGCGCGTGTGGGGGCGAGTGCGTGATCCCAAGGCAGGCAGCGCAGCTCCCCTCCCCCGCTGAACCGTGTGGTAGGCGCACACACAGGCGTGGTAAGGACAGGCGCACACACAGGCGTGGTAAGGACAGGCGCACACACAGGCGTGGTAAGGACAGGCGCACACACAGGCGTGGTAAGGACAGGCGCACACACTGGCGTGGTAAGGACAGGCGCACACACGGGCGTGGTAAGGACAGGCGCTCACACAGGCGTGGTAAGGACAGGCGCACACACAGGCGTGGTAAGGACAGGCGCACACACAGGCGTGGTAAGGACAGGCGCACACACAGGCGTGGTAAGGACAGGCGCACACACAGGCGTGGTAAGGACAGGCGCACACACAGGCGTGGTAAGGACAGGCGCACACACAGGCGTGGTAAGGACAGGCGCACACACAGGCGTGGTAAGGACAGGCGCACATGTCAACAGGAGTAGTGTTTGGCCCCGTCCTCGCTTGGGCGGAGCCGACCGACAACCGCGGGAGACTACGGGGCTGCGGGAGACCGCGGGGCCGCGGAAGGCCGCGGGAGGCCGCGGGAGACCGCGGGGCCGCAGAAGGCTGCGGAAGGCCGCGGGAGACCGCGGGGCCGCGGAAGGCCGCGGGAGGCTGCGGGAGACCGCGGGGCCGCGGAAGGCCGCGGGAGGCCGCGGGAGACCGCGGGGCCGCGGAAGGCCGCGGGAGGCCGCGGGAGACCGCGGGGCCGCGGAAGGCCGCGGGAGGCCGCGGGAGACCGCGGGGCCGCGGAAGGCCGCGGGAGACCGCGGTGCCGCGGAAGGCCGCGGGAGGCCGCGGGAGACCGCGGGAGACCGCGGGGCCGCGGAAGGCCGCGGGAGACCGCGGAAGGCCGCGGGAGGCCGCGGGAGACCGCGGGGCCGCGGAAGGCCGAGGGAGGCCGCGGGAGACCGCGGGGCCGCGGAAGGCCGCGGGAGGCCGCGGGAGACCGCGGGGCCGCTGGAGGCCGCGGGAGACCGCGGGGCCGCGGAAGGCCGCGGGAGGCCGCGGGAGACAACCACGGGACCACGGGACCGCGGGGACCGCGGTGGCCACGGATGGACGACCGGGGGCCACGGGGGCCGCGGGATACCCGGTCGACCAGTATACCCGGGCGACGTGTGCGAAAGTCGACGGGGGTGGTTTCTGCGAGGACGACCTCGGGGGTGGTATCCCGAGGTCGACGTGGCTGGTGGGCGCCGTCACGGGTGGAGTGTCTGCGCTGGGCATGTGACGGGGCGTTGGGCGCCAACCAGCTGCACGCACCTGCGAAGCTGGTGCACCGTTGTCGAGCGGGTGCAACGCTGTGCAGCCGACTTGCTGCAGCGTTGGCACACCGCGGACTTGCAACATTGGCAAGCCGCGACCCTGCTCTGCTGGAGCGCGGTCGACCATGTCGTGCTGGCACGCAGTCGACCGTGCTGCGCTGGCAGTCGACCAGCAGCCTTGCTAGGTCTGATGTAGTCTGTGTTGCCAATGTTGGTGCTATCATTGTTGTGAACTTTTGCTAGTGAAACTCTTGCCAAATTTCCCTGTGAACCAGAAAGCAGTGCAAGCACAAGTAAACGACTAAGGAACGAACGCAGAGATCACACGAGCATCCGTGCCTAGCCCGTAGTCTAGCTCCCGTTGCTAAAGTTATCTCCGCATGGTGCGGTGAGCGTGGACGACACCGCGAAGTGACCTTCGGTTTAGTCGACTTTGCATTCACCTAGCTAGTTCGTAGACCGGCGGCTGTGCTGGACGCCTTGGTTGACCCCGTAGTAGAAGCGGGCGTTGTGGAAACCCTGGAGGCACAGCTGGAGGACGCGAGGAGACGTCATGCGGCGAACGAGTATGGAACTCTCCCGCTGACGGTCGTCGAGGCTGGCATCCGCGCCGTGTGGGCGACGGAGCACCCTTCCCGACCGGCGTCTCCTCGACCGGTGAACAACGCGGGCGGCGTCGACGCGGACGTCAACGCGGGTGGTGGCCAAGTCGGCAGCAGCGCGGGAGGCACGTCGAGGCAGCGAGGTGTGATTCACGCCGATGAAGTCGGCGGCGTTCAGGCTCGAGGGATGCAGTCGTTCGCGGCTGCAGGGGCCTCGCGGGGCTACGTCGGAGGCAGACGAAGTGAATTGGCGCCGATGTCGGCGACACACGTGACCGCGGGAGGAATTGCGCCGAGCTACGGCTACTTCAAGTTTACGCCGGACAGGATCTCGGTCACCCCTCTGCTGGTCGGTCGACCTGACATCCTCACGTGGAAGGAAGCCATCGAGCCCCAGCTGGAGATGGCCGGGCTGATGGGCTTCGCCCGCGGGACCGTGACGACGCCAGAGGAGCACCACCCCGACCTGCGAGCAGAGTTTCGCGCCGTGCAGTTGCTGATCTTCACGGTCATCTCGCGGTGCTGCTCACCGGGCGTGCAGATCGCCCTGAAGTCGTGTAGGGAGTACCTCGACGCCGGCCACCGGGCGTGGCATTTCATCGAGTCGACTTACCAAGTCACCGACGACTTGTTCATCGCCCAGCTTGAGGGGCAGCTGACGCACCTGCGTATGGGCGATCAGGAGACCGCGACCGACTACTGCAACCGAGCTCGGCGAATTCTCGCCACCATAAGGATGGCTGGCGCGCAGTACTCAACGGCATCGTACGTCACATACGTCATGCAAGGACTCCCGAGCAGCTACAACCTGCTGAAGCGGCTGTCGATGGCGCCGAGCACGCGGGCGACACTCAACGAGGACACATTGACCTCGTACATCCTGCAGGACGAGGCGATGCAGGAGGCTGAGCGGTCCCAGGAGCTCCTCACGCAAGAGAACTACGTCGCCCCGGCGAAGCAAGGTGGTCGATCGGGACAGCGCGGGCAGTCTGGTGGCAGTCACCGCGGTGGCGGGAAGCCGGCGAAGGACGCCGACAAGCAGAAGTCCGTCCAGGATGGCGGTCGTGGAGGAGGAGGTCGACGTCGGGAATGCTGGCTGTGCGGCGATCCCGATCACCTCTCCTTCGAGTGTCCCGACCGCAGTGACTCGGACGACGACGAAACCAAGGGAGGCCGCGGGAGGTCTGGCAGCCGTCGTCCGCGTCGAAGGAGAAAGGAGAAGCAGTCGACGAAGTCGACCTCGGCGAAGGACGCCGACTCCTCCGCGGGTGGCAAAGGGTGAGGCGACAAGGAGGCGTCGTGCTCGCTGGTCGGTATCGTAGAGCCGACCGTCTCGCTGGCGCCGGAGGCTGGTGAGGATTTCCAGGCGGTGGCGGCAGCTGTGCAGGCGAACCCGGCGGTGGTCCTGCTCGACAGCGGCTGCTCGCACCACCTGATGGGGACGAAGGACGCCTTCGTCGACTTGGGGCCGAGCGGCGACGTGAAGCACGTGCGTGGCTTCAATGGGGCGCTGCAGGACGTTCGCGGCCGTGGCACGGTTGCGCTGCAAGGGGAGGCCGGGAAGCGGGTGCTCATCTCCGACGTTCTCTACGTCCCGGGAGTGCAGGCAAATCTGCTTTCGGCTGGTCAGCTGAAGGAGAGCGGGGTGACGCTGAAGGATGACGGCGACAGGATGTTGCTCGTCTCCGCGGCGGGGGACGTGCTCGGTCGAGCAACGTACACTGGCCGGGTCCTCTGCACTGACCTGCGCCCATGCGCGGTAAAGTCAACGACGCCCGCGAAAGAGGAGGTGGCTCTGCGGGCGATAGTCTCAGCGACGAAGGCAACCCCGGACAGGCTGCACGCGAGGCTTGCGCACGTTGGCATGGACACCATACGGAGCTCGGCGAAGCACGAGGTCGCCACCGGGCTGGACCTCAAGTCGGCGTCTGGCGCCGACTCACCGTGTGTTTCGTGCGTCGGCGGGAAGCTAGCGCGGCACACCTTCCCCGACCAAGGCTCAGACGCCGACGACGTCCTGGCCGTCGTGCACATCGACTTGTGCGGGCCATTTCGCGTGGATGCCAAGGACGACAGTCTGTACTTCTTGCTACTGAAGGACCGCAAAACCCGCTCCGTGTGGGTGAGGCCGGTCGCCAAGAAGCCCGACGTGCTGCGGGAGTTCCAGAAGTGGCTGGTGCTGGTGGAGCGGCAGGCGAAGTATTCGGTGCTGCAACTGTGTTCTGACCGCGGAGGGGAGTTCCTCGGGAAGGATTTCACCGCCTTCGTGGACAGCAAGAGGATCGTCCACGACTTGACTTGCCCTTACACCCCGCAGCAGAATGGCATGGCGGAGCGGGAGATGAGGACGGTGGTGGAGTCGGTGCGGATGATGCTGCTGCACATGGGCGTGCGGCACCACTGGTGGCATCTCGCTCTGCGGCAAGCCGTTTGGGTTCGCAACTGCCTGGAGCGGTCGTTGCTGCCACCGGGGTCGACGCCGTACCAGCTCCTCACCGGGCAGAAGCCCGACTTGTCGATGGCGCGGGTGTGGGGCTGCATGGCGCAGTTCCTCGTCCCTGAGCAGCAGCGCGGTGGAAAACTGCAGCCGAAGGCTCGGTGGGGCCTTCACCTCGGCGTGTCGGAGGAGAGCAAAGGCTGGGAGCTCCTCGACATCGCCGCCAACCGGGTGGTCACCACGTCGGACGTGGTGTTCTACGAAACTATGTCGTTGGAGGTGTGGAAGTCGGAACTCGGGCCTGCGTCCGGGCGGACGCGGGCCAACACGCCGACGGACACCTCGACGGCAACGCTTCCCCTGCTCGCCGCGGTCGGTGGGCATGATGATGAGGATGCCGCGGTCGCCCCTGCCTCGCCTTCCCCTGCCCCTTCTTCCCGTCCCCTTCCCGTCGACCTGCGTGGCCTGACTCCGATGTCGGCCTCCGGCGATGAGGGG